TTCACTTGAAATAACAAGAGAACAGGCAGGAATAATGTTAATGCCAAATTTTATTTCATAAACAGGATATTCTACACTAAATTGTTAGAAATTAATCACACTATAATTCACATTTCGAAATGTGACGTAACTTAAAGAATAAAAATGTAGATTTATCGTATGTTATTGTTGAGCGGCTCTTAGCATGACTGAAATGCTCAACAATTACTTTTTGCGGTGGATGGTATAAGTAGCTCAGAGCTTTGGCTATTAGTAAAACCAAGAGTGCAACACAGTTAACCTTTTTAAAGTCCATGAAATAATTTAATCTGACAGATTAACTTAAACATTTCCTGTCACTGGGGATGGGTACTTTTGCTTGTTGCATTATAAATTAAAGAACAGTGTGGTTTTAATGCTAGCATATAATATAAATTTCAGAATGATTTTTCCCAAACTACATGTATACATATTTTTAATTATACTTACTAAAAGCTGTCTTCTGAACAATTGGCTTATGCGTATTTGTAGGTATTGTAGTATATATATTGTATAATACACCATTTTGAAGCTAATACGGCATTGAGAGGGATAGCCCTGTAATATGATAACTTGAAACTAATGCTGTAACTGAATTGGACAAAATATTTTAAAATCAAATTTGACTTTTGATTTATGATATAAAGAAAATTATCTTCAGAACAGTACTTTATTCAATGTAATAGAAACTGTGCTCAAATAGGGTGATTGTGCATAAATAAATAGTTGGGTAAATAGCTAGTTTATAGTAAAGTTAGGTTAGATGTGTATTAAAAGTAATTCATAGACACTTTTCTTTAGCATATGAGAATGCCTCTTTTTACTATATGTTACTTAATGTTGAGAATAAAATCATACCCATCTTATGAAGGAGAGCGCTAGGCCTATAATATACCATTTTGAAACAGATCTATGGTTATTGTATAACAAATTCTTTTCGGAAATAATTTGATTTTTTAAAGAATTTATTAGTATTTGCATATTGCATTATAAGTTTAATATTTTTTGTGAATAAATTAGTTGTTTCAAGATTTATTCAGTGTTCATTAGAAAAAAAATTTAACTTTTGTTTTTGTTTTAGAAGTTCAATAATAATAACTTGTGAATAACTATTATGTTAAGAAGGTAGATCAGTGATTTCACATATTTATGATAATATCAATTTTAGTGCATTGTGCTTTACATCTAAATAATCAATTTCCAGTATTCCTGAGCACTTTAAAGATGTTAAAATATGTGTGAATATATCTGTTTCAATGAAATTTTAACAAGAGCAAAAAAAACAGTATTTTAGATAGCATAGATGTGACTTGCAAAAGCTTATGTCAAAAGTTCTGCTCATTTTGACTTTTATTCAACATTTTTCAGACCTCAGGATGTCATTGTATTTATGGTTGGTGGCACAACTTATGAGGAGTCCAATGTGATTCAAGAACTCAATAGAACAACACCTGGAGTTCATATTGTGCTTGGAGGAACTACAGTTCACAACTTTAAAAGGTATATTTTCTTAGGTTGTAGTTAGCCGATAAGTAAATACATTAGGGAAATGTTTTGAATTTTACTCTATGTTATCCTGTAACTTAAGTTATCGATAATATTATAAGTATTACACTTTTGTCAGTATTTAAGAATTACTTTTAAAAACACAGAACTATAATGTTTTGTCTTACTCTGTTAGAATTAAAATTCTGCTTGGTAATAACAAAGCTTTTACAAGAGCAGAGACTATTGTTTAACCAGGTGGCAGCACATAGTATTGCTTCAATTCTAAAACAGTATAAATGCATACTATAGGCCCAATGACAAAAACAAATTAGATAGAAGCATATGCTATTGAAATGAAATTTCATTACATGTTTATTGAATAAATAATGACCAAATATTCCTTTGACTCTAAATTTCAATTGAATAAAGTGAGCTATTCCAAGTTTCACCTTCCTATTTAAGCTATTTTATAACTATTTTATCTATTCTCCATTTAGATTTGTTCTATGTAAGAACTTGTCTATGTACATAAGCTGTACCTGTGTCATTACTATATTGTTAAGTTGGCATGCTCGCATGCAGTTAAGCTCTTGTTTGTTTCTGCCGCAAATGGTTATGGAGTACTTTGGAGCTATACCATAGGATTTAATCATCTGTTTTATGGTAATCTGTTCTGGTACATATTCATAGAAGCTGAATAGTACTCTAGAGGAAAATCTGCTGATAAGTCACTACCTTCCCAATGTTTCATCAGTGGTTTGAAGAAATGAACTTTATCATGTGGGGAAGTTAGTTTGTGTTTACATGTGGCACTGGAAACTCAGTATAGCTTACACAATCTGTTGTATCTTATAATGGGTTGAAAGCCACTTTTAAAATTTCTCCTGTAATTAAAACTGTTGTACATTTTTTATTATTATTACGAGGAGTATATCTTATTCCAACCGTAGGCTTGATTTTTTTCCAAGACAGTTAACTTATGCCATTCAGTTTCTAATGATTAGGTAAAAGTATCTCTGTTTCATATTTTATATTTATCATTGACAAAGGAATAACAGAAGATACTGAATCTTTTGGGCTTTAACTACCTGTGCAATTCAACTAAATTAGATTTTTATGTGTAATAACTGATTGATGACATTGCAATTTAATTAGCAATAACTCTCCTGTATCAGCACTTATCTGATAAATTTTACATTTGTGCTATTTTGCTATATTAATTTTTTTAAATTAATTATATCAAGAAGTAATATTTGAAAAGATAAAAAATTCACCCATCACCCTCTTTCCACTAACCTTGCAAGTGATAGAACTTCCAGTCAAAAGTGAAATGAGGGTAGAAACAAGACGACCTTGGACACAGATGGGTTTAGAACATCTCAGTAGGTCATTTTATCAAAATTGATGCTGACACTTACCTCTATCGTATCTATGTTACACACTTAGTGTACATGTAATTAGCACATCACACTGTCCATGTTTCTTGTATCGTGTTCTAAATTTACTTTTTTTATGCCAGTAGTAACTAACCCAAGGTTAATTACATAAATGTTTTCCCAATAAAGCACTACTGACATACAAAACACTATTTTTTTCAAGGCTTATCAGCTACAAATATACTTATTAAAATGTTCAAAATATAAATATTGTAAATAATTACCAAACAATATATAATCTGTTTAATAAATAATGAAATATATTAAGTATTGTAAGTATCACTTTTGTATTGTACCACAGTTGTAGTCTTTAATATAAGAAAATAAGCAGTATACCAATGTCAATCCACAAGAGAGAAAATTTTCGAATTGGATATCAAGTTACTTCCGTTTATGCTTTCGGAAATAAACAATTTGAGCATACTGAGTTTGAAAATTAATGCCACCATTTTACTATGAAAAACAAAAATGTGAGTATATTCAAAAGTCAAAAATCAAACAGTTACTCGGTATTAAACCAAAACCACTAGTCTCATGAGACTAGTGTGTAACATTGTCAGCTAGTCCAGATGCATTTGTGTCTTATCTTGGGTTATCATTCTAGCATTAATAGTAAGCTCTGGATATAAGGGTGTAAGTTTATATTTTAAAAATCTTATTAAACAGAAACAATAATTTTGATCTAGTTGTTGTAAGGTTGTGGCAGTGCATATCAATCGTTTTCATGGTTAGTAGCCTATACGATCACCTAAGTTTAATTATTAATGCTTTGTTTTCTTACTAGATACTATTTTATAACTTGTTTATGTCCTATGTTTTGGCTGCTTATCTGCTTCTTCTTTCGGGAAGGACTGTGATTGTAGTGTTAGAGCCTGGGATTTGATTCCGAGTGGTTTGGATAGAAAGGCTAGTGTGATCTACCCCCATTAGGTCTTGAATCAACCAATTTATTTGAATGCCTTCAAGGAGAAGATCTATGTATGGCTAAGCTGACTGAGTATTTAATCAGTTAGGTAGATATAGAAGGCTTACCTTTTCTGTTGTGTGGTCCGTATCCCATTATTTTCATATTATTCTGTTTTATTGTACAGTCTTCTTCTCTAGCGCAATGGGCTGTTGCAGATAGATTGATACTACTGAGTCATGTTTGTATATTATGTTCCTGAATTCTAACCTTTAGTAGGCTTTTTGTGTCTCCAATCCAGTGGAATTTGCATTCACATGACATGTTGTAAATGGTGTTTTTGATCTCCATTGGATACTGAGCAGATTTGATGTGTACTAATTGCAATTATATTGTGTTGTAGCTTCTGAATACTGTTGTTTACATATCCTCTGTATGTTTTCAGAGAGACCTTTGAAATAAATGAACATGACTGTGTGTCTGTAATTGTCTTCCTGGTAATTCTTGGTTTTTGTATTCATTATCACATATTCATGGTTTCTACTGTCAAGCTAGATCTTAGTGATGTGATTTTCTTCCTTCTTATCATCTTCTGGGCACTCATAATCTTCTCATTTATGATGAGGAATAATTACATGTTTATAGTACTTGATTAACACAGTGTAAAAAGATGGTTGTTGTGATAATAAGTTTAGTTATTTTTTTTCATTGTTCATAAGTCATTTATGTTCTGAATTCTTTATGATTTTCAATTTGTGCATATTTTTATTTATTGCGAATCACCAAATGCGAGTTTATTTGTTTAACCGAAGAATTACATCATCTATTTGTTTGTTGTTTATAATATTGATTTGGTATTTTATCACTTTGGTTATAAACTACTTTATACCCATATGTTAATAAAATGACTACACACACTGCTCAGTTGTTCTAGTTTATGTTGGTTTGTTTAACCTAATGAAGTGGATAGAGAGGTAAAAGTTTAAAGGCTGCATATTGATCAAAAACTAATACAAATTAGCATAGAACACAATTAGTGCTTCTTTTAAGGTTTCCAAATTAAATAAAATTATGAATACAAATTTTAATTTGATCCCACTTTCCATCTTCACACTAAATATGTTTTAAGGCATCTCTCACAGAAATGTGCAGTTAGGCCTAGAGTTGCTTTGAATGAGATTTATCAAACAATTCTATTCATAATTACATAAAAAAACTTTCAATCTTCATAACAAAAAGTAGCTGTATTGGATCTTTTGGTTTTTATAATTGTCCATCAATCAAAATTATTTTATCTGTCAGATTGGCAAACCTACACTGTGCATTATTTTGTACCCAAACATTATCTTGATTAATTAGAGCAAGATTTGTTAATTTTATAGAAAAATTTCATTTAAGTAATTGCACATTCCTAAACTGTAGTGGGACTTATTTTTTCACATTAAATGAGTGTAAAATTTAAAGTAGTGTGAATATTTGACATAAAAAAGAAGAAAAAGGGAGTTATTTGTAATTATTAAAACACAGATTCTTGAGTGATAGTTAGTGCAAGTAGCCCTTTTATAACTTTGTGTGAATATTCAAAACAAACTAAAACCTTTAGTGACAGTTTTTGAAACACCCCATGCCTTGTCTAAAACTTGGGATTTTAAATATACTCTGGTGAAATTAAGTCAATTAGGATAAGTAGGTTTTAAGATAAAATAAATTTAAATATGCACGTTTACTATCATGTGCCTCTTGTGAAATATAGTTCACTCAGGTTTAAAAGATAAAATAATTTCAAATGTGGTGTTTTCTTTATAATCACCTTGGATCACTCCAGATGTTTTAAAAGTTTTTTTTATTGTTATTCCCTGAAAATGGATAGTTCTTTCAACTCGTAACTTGTATTTGTTTCTTCTATTTTTATTGTAGTTTTTTAATATAGTATTCTATGTAGATTGGCCAAATATAACCACTTTCTTGTGCTTGTTTTATTTATATTTTATGTTGTTAAATTTCTCAGAGTTAAATTATTTATATATTTGAAATTAGATGATATATCATTTTCAATGAAAATATCATGCAATAAACTTCTTTATTTGCAATTCTTTTCAGTTTCTTGGAGGAAATGAAGTCTGCAACGGTAGGAATGATTATGAAGCCTGGTGGTTCAAAACGAGTAATTCGATA